GCCAAAACAGTTGGATGAAGATCGAGGAAGTCATCAAGATAAAAGACTACACTCATGTTTTCAAGATTACCTTCGAAGAAGTTTCAATGGTTGAAAAAGTTTTACAACAGGGCTTTCTAATATTTAACATGTCAGTAACACCTCATCAAATAAAGAAGGAAACATTCATCAGTCTGCAAACTTGCTTTTCCTGTTACAAATATGAAGAACACACAACGAGAGACTGTCCAGAAAAAGAGAAAAAGTACTGCTCATATTGTGCAGGCGACGACCATACCTGCACTGAATGTAAGAACACACATGTTGGCTGTCTCAACTGTAAGAGAAACGGGAATGCATACATAGGACACAGGACGTTAGCAATGGCATGCCCAATAAAAAACACATGATAAAGTACAAGGAACAAGAAATAAGGAAAAAGGAACAAGACAAGAAGGATACGACATACGTCGAAATAGCCAAGAGAGCGGTCCAAGAGGCTCACAGACCAGAATCCACCATATTAAACTTAAGTGAACCAATACATGACAAAAGGTAATGATTAGTATGATCCATGCTTAAATTGAATAACCTACCAGAGATGATATTCCCAGAGAATCCAGAATCCGAAAAACTATTTCAGGCAACATACTCAAGCGAACTGAGAGAAGGACTACAGCTAGACAAACAAAGGTTTGAGCAAGGAGCAACAGCTGATACACAAGGAACACAAGCGACTGATAGAGATCCCAGACAAATGACTAGAAGTGACAAAGAGAAGATAGAAATAACAAAAGGACAGACTACAAGACAAAGGATATGGAGGAGAGAAGATAAGATGGAGACTGATCACAATATACAACCTGAATCTGCTGAAGATAATGGATTAAAAGTTATCACTACAACAAAACATGGAATCCCAACATCGAGATCAACAGGAGGGACAATAGCAAAAAACTGTGAAGGAGGGATATACAAGTGGACATATCAAGAAAAATCCCGAAGTGAAGATTACGTCTGGACACTCATCACTATGGACAAACTAAAGATTACGACCAATGACTTTAAAATAGTAGACCCGTCAGAGTTTAGAAGAGTTAGAAGCGGGAAACAGGACGATAGGTCTCCACTCCAACTGCCAGAATCCAAGTATAAGAAATAACGGACAATAGACAAACAGTAAGAACTTTAAGAATAATACAACACAACGTAAGAAACTGGAAGACCGAGAGAATTAACCTAAGTAATATATATCAAGAAATGGACCCTGACATTATACTAACAAACAGTCACGGTGAGACAGACAACAACAACATAAAACTCTTTAACTATTATGTAAACCAAAGAAATAAATCGGGCGAGAAAAATGACGGAGTAGCTATAGCGGTTAAAAGAAACTTAAAATTTAAACTAATCGATGACTTCCAGGATGAATTTCTAGCACTAAAAATAAATACAACTCAAGGAGACGTAATTATTGCTACTACTTATCTGCTACCGAGACGACCCTACTTACCTATAGAAGACCTATTAAAATTGGCTAACAATAGTCATCCGATGTACATCTTAGGAGACTTTAACGCCAGACACAGGATTTTTGACAATACAAATAATAACGCCGTGGGAAACGCCCTTAATCAATTAATAAACCTAGGGAAAATCAATCATCTAGGTCCTAACTTTCCAACCTGGAGAAATCACATTACACAATCGACACCAGACAAAATTTTACCAACAACAAACCATTTTTCAATTACCATATAAAACAAGGACCTCTCACAGGCAGTGACCATCTACCAATTATACTAACACTGTCACAAGCCCCATACAGATACCAATAAAAAAGAGACTGAAAATGAGTAAAACAGACTGGGACAGCTTCAAAGACGACTTAGGTAATCACCACTCGATTAACCTACAAGGGAAAACAACAGAAGACATAGACTCAGAAATGGACAGACTGCACTCACCACTAAAAACATTTATAACCAAACACACTCCTACTTCACACTTTAGAACATTACCCAACAACAGATTACCAGAAGAAGTTAAATTAATCCAAACCCATTACAATGAAATAAACAGGTATATGGAAAGACACGGCAGTAACAGATGGCTATATACGACGCAGACAGCACTACAGATAAAATTAAGAGACGCATGTAAGGAAGCAAACAATAAAAAATGGAATGATATTATAATGGCGGCTGACATGACTACAGACACCAAAATGGAACTAAACTGCACGAGGAAAATGAACAAGAGTCAGCATTCAAAAGAGAGTGGGTACAAGTTTTTAAAATATCAGATGAGGAAAATGAAGATTTTGATTGTGAACACGAAGAAAGGATAGAAGACGAAATGGGAAGACACATACATAGAATCACACCAAAGCAATATATAGACTATAACTTACTACCTAATAATCAAATGATAACCATGGGAGAAATGATGCACTGTCTGAGGAAGCTTAAGGAAAAAGCCCCCGGGCTCACAAGTATTACACGAAATATGATCATGAATCTACCTGAAAACATCTTAAAAACACTATTAAACATTTATAACGCATGCTTAATTACCGGTTACTTTCCAGACAAACTAAAATATGCTAAAATGATATTAATTCCCAAGGAGGGTAAGGACAATAAGGAAATATTAAACTACAGGCCAATATCTTTATTAGAAATTACCGGGAAACTACTGGAAAAAATTTTAAATTCAAGACTTATAACCTTTTTAACACAACAGGGGAAAACAAACAATAGACAACATGGATTTATGCCCAATAGAAATACCCTAACTGCAATAGCTACAATAACGGAAATAATTGCAATAGAAAAAAGCAAGGGGAACCACATCAATATAATTTTAAGGGACGTTTCTAAGGCTTTTGATAAAGTTTGGCATTTAGACTTAAAATATAAAATATTAAAATTGGGACTTAACGAATACTTGCTAAGAATATTGTGTAACTATTTAGATGATAGGAGAGCACAAATTCAAATTGGAAACCTTATGGGAATTATGTTTAATCTTGAGAGTGGAGTACCTCAAGGAGGATGCCTTTCTCCAACACTATATTAGATTTATACCTCAGACACACCTCAACCTACTTCCTTAAGCGAATATATAATGTTTGCTGATGATATTACTCAAATAGTATCATACCCAGGAAAATCAACCCAATTTATGGCACTCTACACGGTAAGAGCGATAAAAAATATAAATGATTTTGAGAAAAAATGGAAAATCAGGACAAATAAGAACAAATTCAAGATAATACCAATAGCCAAGATCAAAACAAGTCCAGTAATAGTCGACTAGGAACTATACCCATACGACACTGAAGGCAGGATGCTTGGACTAAAACTAACAAAACGAGGATATATATAACATACATAAAAGATAAAGAACGACAGGCAAGAATAAGATTATAAAAAATAAAACGCTTTAAGAACCTTAGCATTAATAACAAAAGAAAGATTTATATAGCCCTTGTCAAATCAATTATGGACTACCCACCCATCCCATTGAACACTCTTAGTAAAACGAGCATTAAAAGGTTACAAACAGTACAAAATATAGCCCTCAGATTTATATATAACATAAAATATACAGACCACATCAATAATGAACAGCTACACAAGAGAGCAAACCTCTTAGCAATCAATGTAGAAATACACAACAAAGCTGCAAATATTTGGAAAAAAGTGACTGAACTTAACACAGAAACATATCAAAATTGGATAAATAATATAGACAACGAAGAATTCCAAGAACACAGTTGGTTTAAATCAGCCAGGAAGAAAGTAATTGAACCATCTCCTGCCCCAATATACACATAAAACATTAATAGAGAGAATAAAAGATGAGAGTGACCTACCAGCTCCACTAAGAACCTGGCAGGCCTCTCCATACAGTGTACCTTTAGACTAACATAACTAACATTTAACATTTAACTAACATCTTAGCAAAAAAAAAAAAATAATAATAATAATAATGTGATTACCCTCCCAGCTACATCAGCCAGGAAGAAGTAATTGAACCACCTCCTGCCCCAATATACACATATACACATAAAACATTAATAGAGAAAATAAAAGATGAGAGTGACCTACCAGCTCCACTAAGAACCTGGCAGGCCTCTCCATACAGTGTACCTTTAGACTAACACAACTAACACTTAACTAACACCTAGAAAAAAAAAAATGTGACTACCCTCCCAGTTACACAAGGACCTGGGCGGGCTCACTAACTCCAACAATAAATAAAAATAATAATAATAAGCAGCACTATATAAATAAACCAATATTAATACAAAGGTCTGACGACCCAAGGGAGCAGAACAAAGATAAAACACCAATAGGAAAGATGAAGCGATCTGGTTGAGCCCAGATTCTTTCTACTCCTACTGTATTTCAGTTTTACCACTTTTCCTTCAACCCCTAATAATCTTCTTTCACCTCATAACTAAAGACTCCGTACCGTAACGTATCCACGGGCGGTTGCTATTCGGACATTCTGAGGAGACGCTCATTACTCTGGAGATTCTCAGTATCACGCTCGTCCTCCCCTCTGGTCGGGAGGGAGACTCCCCGGCCTCACCAGCTAAGCAGAGTCTCGCACCCACTGGGCCTACGTCAGGGTAGACGTGAGTCTTTGTCAGAACGATTCCTAGGGTGAATTACCTACTGTGAGAAGTGTATTCATTCATGTTGTATCCGAGAGTCAGTGTCGAGTCACGTAACATAATGTGTTAGTACCCCGATATAATAATGATATTAATGTGTCCTTGTCATTGAGTGAATTAATAAATAGTTGTATCGAAGTGGTGTTTGAGAAGTTGTCCCTTAAGAACAGAATAGATGTGTATTGAAGTAAAAGATAAGTGTATTGATAGTGTAAATAATATCCCGGTCACTTTACCAAACTTCCTGTCTTTACATCCTCCTACTATAAATATTCTACCTATATGTAATAACCTCTCCTGGTGAGTTTTGTCTCATTATAAATCACACCAGCAGCAACACCATGACAATCACATCAGCATCAGCACCACGACAATCACACCAGCAACAGGACAACGACAATCACACCAGCAGCAGCACCACAACAATCACACAGGAAGCAGCACTACGACAATCACAGGAACAGCAACACCACGACAATCACACCAGCAGCAATAGCACCACGACACTCACACTAGCAGCATCAGCAGCAGAACCACGACACTCACACTAGTAGCAACACCATAACACTCACACCACCAGCAGCACCACGACACTCACACCAACACCAGCACCACGTCACTCACACCAACACCAGCACCACGACACTCACACCAACACCAGCACCACGTCACTCACACCAACAACAGCACCGCGTCACTCACACAAGCAGCAGCACCACGACAATCACACCAGTAGCAGTCACCACGACAATCACACCAGCAGCAGCACCACGACAATCACAGCAGCACCGATAATCATTGAAGCAGCAGCACCACGACAATCACACCGGCAGCAGCACCACGACAATCACACCAGCAGCAGCACCAAGACAATCACACCAGCAGCAGTCACACCAGCAGATGCGACAATCACACCAGGCAACCACACCAGACAATCACACCAGCAGCAGTCACCACGACAATCACACCAGCAGCAGCACCACGACAATCACACCGGCAGCAGCACCGATAATCACCAGCCAGCAATCACGCACAACACAATCACACCAGCAGCAGCACCGACAATCACACCAGCAGCAACCACGACAATCACACCAGCAGCAGAACCACGATAATCACTCAAGCAGCAGCACCACGACATTCACACCAGCAGCAGCAGCCACGACAATCACAGCAGCAGTCACCACGACACTCACTCCAGCACCACCACCACCACCACCACAACCACAACACTCACTCCAGCAGCAGCAGCCCCACCACAACGAGACTTACACCAGCAGGAACAGCACCATGACACTCACCAGAGCAGCAGCACCACCGCTACGACACTCACTCCACCACCACGATACTCACTCCAACAACAACACCACCACCACGACACTCACTCCAACAGCACCACCACGACACTCCCACCAACAGCAGTAGCACCACCACCACCACGACACTCATTCCACCACCACGACACTCACCCAACAGCAACACCACCACCACGACACTCACTCCAACAGCAACACCACCACCACGACACTCACTCCAACAGCACCACCACACTCACTCCAACAGCTGTCGCACCACCACCATGACACTCACACCATCAACAGCAGCCACGACACTCATCCCAGCAGCTATAGCATCACCAGTACCACGACACTTGCAACAGCAGCACCACGAAACTCACAGCAGTAGAAGCACCATAAAACTCACACCACCACCAGCAGCACAACACCCCATGCACCACCACCACCACGACACTCACTCCAGCAGTTGCAGTAGGAGCATCACCTCCACCATGACACTCACTCCAGCAGCAGCACCACCACCACCACCACCACCAGGACACACACTCCAGCACCAATACCACCACGACAATCACTCTAGCAGCAGTTTTACCACGACACTCACTCCAGCAGCAGCAGCGACCCACCAACACGATACTCACTCGAACAGCACCACTACCACTACGACACTCGCAGCAGCAGCACCACTACCACCACCACCACGACAGTCACTTCATCAGCACCACCAACACTACCAACCACCATGACACTCACTCCAGCGTTACCACAACCACACTCACTCCAGCACCACCACCACCACGAGACTCACTCCAGCACCACCATCACCACCACGAGACTCACTCCAACAGCAGCACCACCACAACACTCACTCCAACAGCAGCAGCAGCACCACCACCAAAACCACCACGACACTCACTCCAGCAGCAGCAGCAGCACCACCACCACGACATTCACTCTAGCAGCAGTGCCACCACCACCACCACTACGACACTCACTCCAGCAGCAGCAGCAGCAACAGCAGCAGCAGCAGCACCACCACCACCACCCTACTACTGCATTTATGTCACTCGGAATCGTGTATGACGATGTCGCGATCCCACTACCCTTTATACCTGGGGAGTGAAACCTACCCCAAGTTACTATCAAATAAAGGAACAAATAGGGAACACGGCAATAATTATCCCCACAAAAACCTACTCAACTAAATGTACTTGAATAAGTATGAACAAGTTGAAATTAGTAAGTCACAAAAGGGAAGATAATTAATTAATTCAATTTATGTCCGAAAGGGAGTACTGACTATAGCAAACAAGAATTTAAGGGAATAAGTAATTGTATAATAAAATAAGAGTGATGCCGGAAGGGCGAAAATATACCGTAAGGAGTTAGACCAAACGAATATTACTTAACATAACTATATTACACAAACATACAGTATATATATACAACAATCCCTACAAAATAGTTATTTCCTACCAAACAGGAGATTCCTTACCACCAGGATCCCTTCCTAGGCCTAACTAAACGTGTCACTAATACCTGATACCCCTAAGGCATTGCAGAAGACTGGACAAGGCACTAGACAAGGGTCAAGGCTAGAGAACGAATGGACATGTCTACCATATGCCACGGTTTTTCGCTACTGGGGAAGTGTGCCCACGCGGTGGAGGAGCGCGTCTCATATCACGTTATCCAGGACATTTGCTAGATATTTTATATAATTAATTAATACTACTCTTGATTTGACTTAACAGAGTAACACAATGATGCATATTAATAACATACATAAATATACAATTAACCTAAGTAACTAAGAACAATAATAATATAATAAGTGCAATTAACAAGTTAATAGCTTGTGTGAAATGTAGGCGTGAACATATGCCTCACGCTATGCGAGTTCCCGAGCGCCACAGGCTCGTGACAGACGATCATCCAGCTATGATACAGTTAGTGTCAGCAAGAAAACTGGCATTTGTTCTCTTGTCTTTCCAGCAAACTCGGAGGATGGAACGTAGCCTATGATGGTGAAAGTTTTCAAGTGCCTTGAGGTGCCTCCAGTGTGTGACCTATGTCTCACTGCCATATAGCAGGGAGGGGAGGACCACTGCTCGATATACGTGCAGTTTTTTTTAGATAAATTCATCTCCCTACAAATGAAGACACGATTTCTGAGCTTGCTAAAGTTCTTGAGATGCTCATCTGATCCGATGCTGAATCTCTTCATCGATGTCTGCGGTGGTGGACAGGTTCCCACCTGTTCGAGATATCGAAATAGGATGGATGGTGGAGGTTTGTCTGAACCAGGGGCAGGTTGAAAGAGAATCTGAGTCTTATGTACACCTAAAGGCCGAAGTGTGCATAAACATCTGCTTAGGTGTTCAGGATCTCCTGTAGGTCGTGTTCAGTGTGAACAACAAGGGTGAGGTCGTCTGCATACTGAAAGTTCAGTAATGGAAGTTGCCGACACCTTTGTTCATGACTGGAGTCGTCTTATGTTGAAAAGACCCCTCTTCACCAGGTACTCGATGTTCACCCCGCTGGCTAAATTGGCACTGACACGAATAAGGAAGGCAGCCAAGAAGATGGAAAAGAGAGTTAGTGCCAGTACACACCCTTGTTTAACCCGTGTTTGGATGGGCAAGAACTCTGACTGGTTGTTGTTGTGCAGGACACTGCTGTTCATGCCAACTGGAGTTGCCTCACAATGGCGACGAATTTTGGTGGGCAGCCAAAACGGTTGAGGGTCCACCTTAGGGCTTCCCTATTGACCGAGTCGAAGGCCTTTGTTAGGTCGATGAAAGCCTTGTGCAGGTCACGACTCTGTTCTCTGCATTTCTCCTGTATCTGATGGGCAGCAAAGATCATGTCATTGGTGCCACTTGATGGTCTAATGCCCCATTCGTATTCAAGGAGAAAGTTTTCCGCCTCAGGAAGAAGTCTGTTTAGGAGGACTCCGTCGATAATCTTGCCAGATACGGAGAGCAGCGAGATCCCAAGGTAGTTGCCACAGTCGTATAAATATTGATAATGGAAGCGTCTTTAACAGCTTGGGGGATTTCCTCTGTAAGGGCTGTAACGAGCAGGATGGTTGTCCGCCGCTCGTGTGCTTCGTCACACATCAGACACTAGCCAGCCAACACCACAGCTCCACTTCCCCTGCTGTTGGATCCAACACTGGTTGTGTATTCATCTGAGGTTAGTGGGGTTCGTGGGCTGATTCCCCAATCCTTCACTATTCGGCTGTCAATCTCCGGACACCTACTCCAGCTACTACCGCGGTTGCCACGTCATCGCCACTTCCTCCACGCCTTATCCACCGTCCGTGCCCTGGCGATTCTCCTGTGTGGCATGACATCGCCCACCAACGCCAGCACCAAGTGATGAAGCTACCCTGGACCTTACCCCTGAGAGCGGAACACTGCGTTAACAGAACATTCCACCGGGCTGCAGCCATAGGAAATATCTGTACTTTGTTTGGCTCCCATAATTGTTTGACTCCTGCAATTGTTTGATTCCCGTAAGTGTTTGACTCCCGTAATTGTTTGACTCCCGTAATTGTTTATGTAATATTTGTGTGAGTGGTGTCAAGTATTGTGATTTTTTTCGTAGTAAGATGTCAATCTCTAACGGTTGTTTGTTACACTTGGAAACCCATGGTTCTTGACTTTCCTATTATAAGATCCTGATTAGGCTGGCAAGGGATTTATATCCCAAAGTCCAGGCCTTTACAACCTCCTTTTCCCATATATTCTCCAGGAGAGAGTGGAGACAGTTGATAAGCAGAGGTCCTCCTGCTTCATACACTTCGGCTGGGATTCCCTCAGGCCCTGAGGCTTTGTTATTTTTCATCTGTTTGATGGCAGTAGCTGCCTCATCCAGGGATGGAGGATAGCTGAGGTGGGTCATATCTGGATGCTGAGGGACCTGGTGAGTAACCACATCGGTGTTTCAGTTGAGCAATGAATGGTAGTGTTCTTTACAGCGCTGAAGGAGGCCCTTCATCGTCTTTAATTATGAGGTTACCGTCAGTTGAAAGGAGGGGGCTGCACCACGAGTGACTGTCCCATAAAATGTTTTAGTGGAAATGAAAAATTTGCGATCTTGTGCTGATCTGCAAGTTTTTGTGCTTCACTTGCTTTATTTTTAAGCCAGTCGTTCTTCAGATTGCGAAATTTCCGATGGGCTGCCACTTTCTTCTTGCAGAAGGTATCTGCTTTGGTCTGAGACTGAGGGCTGTTCTGCCAGCCAGTAAAATCACGACGTTTATCATCAATGAGTACTTTGATTGCCGGGTCATTTTCATCAAACCAGTCCTGGTGTAATCTTTTCATCTGGCCGAGGGTCTCTCTGCAGGTTTTTCATAACAGTATTTAGAGTATCCCATTCGGCACTGGGATTCACGTTGTTTGCTGTTGGTTTACTTATAAGCCTGTGTTCGAGCTGCGTTCTGAAAGCATGTGCAACTGCTAGATTCTCCAGAGTCTTAGTATTAAAACCTTTTCTGGAGGATTGCTGCCTTCGCTGTTTTGGGGCGACGTGAAGTAAGAGATTGTCGCTTTCAAGTCGATGATCAGTGTCATAGTAGTCTGAGCCACGCATGGCATGGGTGATGAGGACATGTCGGCGACCTCTTTTCCTGACAATGATGTAGTCAATGAGATGCCAGTTTTTGGATCGTGGGTAAAGCCACGAACCTTTGAACTTGTCGGCCTGCCTAAACAAGGTATTGGTGATAGTGAGGTTGTGTGCAGCACACTTGCTGAAGATGAGTAGGTCGTTAGGATTACACTTGCCTCGTCCATTTCTCCCTATGA